TCTATTAACCCCGATATATATTATATCTAATTCAACGATTATTTATTGATTTATTTCAAATGGCAGGCGATTTGATAGTTATCATTAACCCTTTGGCTGAATTCGGGCTTTATAGAGAGGAGGAGAAACATAAACGTGAAAAAAAACGAGAGGGGGACAGAATATTGATTCACAGTTTTAAAAGAAACAGACAGATACAAAGGTAGAGAATAGGTAAGATAAGTACTGTGGAAGTGGTCGATTATGACATATAGTCGGGCCATGGTAGTTTGAACTCAGAAGTCAACTGCCTTTATGCCGAATGAGAATACTTTGCCCAGGGTGCACCAAGTGGAGGTAAGTCTATCGCACACACCAATCAAACAATAATAATTTTGTAAGAATATGACCTAGTCATCGTGTTTTATACGGATGCTTTATACTCTCGTTCGTTCGCATTGTGCTCGTGGCACAGCTAAGTTCTCTCTAAAACCTCTACTGTTGAATTTCAGTAGAAATAAAATTCTTGATTGAGCACATATTCGATGGCAAGAGTGAGTGCAACGCATGGCTGAAGATCCTCTTTAAGTGAACTCTCGTTAAATGTCCCTGTTTATCCTATTCACCTCTCCGACGGTTGTGTCAATAAATAAATTTAAAAAATGGCACTTCTATCCCTTAATCACTGAACGTCCCATTGTGAAGACATTCAGATGTCTAGGACTAAAATGATAAGAAATGAATTCTCGTGACATGTACATACCTTAAATTTAACCAAACGTCCTATGGGAAATTCGACATCTTAAAGCTTTCAGAAGTCAAAAAAATGCACTTATTGATGTCCTAACTTCATTACATATTCAGTTTTGACTCTGGTTTCTTCCATACCCATTGTTTAGTCGCATTGAAATAATTGTAGCATGAAAATGTTTATTTGCAAAAAATTAAAGCAGCAATTGATTGTCATGAAGTGAATTAATCTACCGATATTACTTTATTTATCAAGTTTGTGGTAGTAGAAAAAAAGTTAGAAGTTGTCTACCTTTAGTTATTGTGTTTAAAATGCTCTGATTTTGTTGGCATTGTTGCCTCTCAGAGAGTGCTATCTATATGATTATCAGTATTTGTGTGTGAAGTATTGATTTTCTTTTCGATTTTGGTGGCTCTGCTTGGAAATATCGGAATAAATTTTGCCATACCGATAAATGCTAATTGGTAATGTGAATTGTCTTAACAGGCTTGAATCATATGCCAAATTAAGTGCTTGCAAATCTACTTCTAGTCGTTTGAATGTTGATGTTAGTTCATGTTGAATTGCAAGCATTGAATGTCTTTTGGGTTTTTTTCTAATAACAATGGATGCAGGCCACACTGGGGAATTACCTTCCATGCCGCAGTTTTCTTGCGTTCAACTTGAATGAGTTTGCCGCTAGAACGTTCAAATAACAATGTATGTTATGCTCTCTATGTATAACCTATATTCGTTTATTAATGATGGTTTAAAAAAGCGCATTGGTAGTTCATTAATATTCATGGCCCAATACATTTAATTACATGTTCTCGTTCGCTCTATGTATTAATGGCTAAATAAAGTGAGCAGTTTAACCCTTTAACGCCCTTAGGACCGTACGGTTCTCTTTTGAAATAAGCTCCGTTGGTACTAGACTCGTAACAGAAGGTTCTATTGCCGTTTGAGACTCAGTCAATACGTGTCTTTAGCGTTCGCCTAATACACCACCGAAACTCATTACGTCGGTGGAATCAGTCTACTGCTGTGAGACACGCGTGAGTGCGGTTGGGTGCATTTTTCACAGAAGTAATTCGGGCGTTAAAGGTTTATTTGCAAATTGTAGATCCTAGTGAAAGACGCACTCCCCCAAGCATACTGTACTGTTCTGCTTTCGTAGACGCGAATTTTTAAGGCAATATCTTTAAGGATACTACAGATTAATGTCTCTTTTCCAATATATAATTTGAAGAAATTATCTTTCTAACCAATTTGCTTGAAAATTCACTTGGATGGCAAATTGAGCTCAAATTTTTCAATGAAATAAAGCCCTGATTGGAAAGCCCTGCAGGAACTGCTAGCACAAACACCCTTAAATGTCTAAACAATCCGTTCAACATATTTTTCTTTGTTTCTGATAAGCTGCAAAATTTGCCCACTTTGAATAATTGCAGCCAACTTTGTCTTTGGAATCTTTATTAGGAGGATAAAATTTACCTCACTATGTTGGCATTGGTCAAGAATGATCACTTACCTGGCCTTAATGGGCAATAATTCCTCAACTGAAACTGACCTATCTCAGCTTTGGAAAGTGAGTTAATTCGGCTTCCACCAAAAACTGTAAGCTTGAATCAAGAATTTAAATTAATTAACATAACTATGCATTGAAAAAATTTAATTCTCTAACGTATATTGAAATTATTCATTGATTATATGAAATTAGGTTAAATTTCTGATTGGTTTTGAATTCTAATATAAAAAACCTATTCGCAGTTTTGTCTTTGATATGTAGCGGATTGCTACTTTATTAAAGCTTGACCGACTCAGAAATCTCTATGGGGGATTCTCCAACATCTGGCTAGACTCTCAGAACCAGCTAAGGTATAGCCCAGCTATAAAGGAAACAGACGTGTAGCACGGAGCACGTTTATTCAGTACGTATATTGCGGATCAAGTGTGTACACGCAGGAAGCTACTCATGATCAGGATGGGGGATTAGGTTAAACAGAGGTTGATGATTGGTCACTGTTTGTACGGTCGCTGCACACAGAGTTGTACGGCGCACCTCTTAATCCTAGCGAGCAGGCATGCAGGCATACGATGACGCACACAGCGATAACGTGTCCCACAGATATTCTTGTTAGAACTGAACCTCGAAATACATTGAACAATTAGAATTGTGTGTATCGCGTGGAGTCTTTTCTTCAGTATTTGTAAATAACTTCTTAATAAACACTTTTGTTATCACAATATTAAAGGGATCATCGAATATTTTTATATCGCAAATAGGATTTTAAATAAGAAACGACTTAAGTTACTCGTTTCTTCACGGTGAAACTACCATAAGACAATGTAAAAGAAGTCTAGTATAAGTAGATTTACAATAGTGCAATTATTAAATAGTAATTGCTTACGTTGTTGGACTTAATATCGTATTTGTATCAGCCTATTCTAATTTTGGGAATACAATATTGGCAGATTATCAGGTTGATCTGTGGCGAAATGAAATGTACTTCAGTAGCAAGAAGTCATGATTTATTGCGTGGTTTAGAGACATAGAGATAGGCTCAGAACAGAACCCTTCCTACCTATTCTCTGTCCGACTACAGTTCTCTTTCTCCCAAAAGAGTGCTCTAACACGATGAGTTAACAACAAATAAAATCACATTTAAAGAGTAGATAGTTTGAAGTCAGTCAAGGTATTGTCAAAAATGCGATCCATGGATTCTTGGCTGTTAGCAACCTTATGCTAGCAGGTGGTTTAAGGTCAAATAACTGGAGAGTAGATACTGTCAAGCGCACCACCCCCCTCTCCACCCTGTTCCCCCAAAAAAAAAATTACGAAGAAAAGAAAGCCAAAATCAAGGAAGGCAAAAGATATATATCATACATATGACCAGTGGAATGCAAAATACATTGGCTTTGGATAAGGAAGGGGAGAATAGATAAATAACAAGGTCGCCTCTTCATAATTCAAGTAGTGAAAGAAGAAGAAAAAGAATCCTTGACATTTGCAGAGGCACCATAGGCAATTTGTGGTGAGTTGGGAGCAGTATTAGTGAGCGAGGCAGTACAGCACTCTGTCTTGACCCGAACAAACTCTCGAGCTACTTCGTCCATGGCCAAGCGCTGGGAAAGAATTCGCAATACCGTCCAACCAGCCTCTGATTGGCTCTGTCGACGTGTTAGCGGTAGTCGAACTGGTGCTGACCCACCTAAATCTAGGGCTTGGGACAGTGTCAGGAGACTACTAGCCACCAATCGATCACTCCGCCCAAAACAGTAATCCTTCACCACTAGTTGCAGTTCATACCACTCCGGATCACTCCGATTTGAAAGATAACTATTTGGAAAAGCAGAAATGTCAGTATGTCGCATCAAGGTTAATGCGTACAAGCGATGATCTTACTAGACAAAGGTTTCATTGAATGAAGGTGATATTGTACCCGATTTAGATTTGGTCGTGAAGCGTCGTTTGCGATCTTGCAGCAACGGTCCAAAGAGATAGACCTCTACGAATGGTCGGAAAACTCCTGAAATCATCACACCGCCCAGATCAGTTGCTGAGAGAACTAAAATAGTAAAGTCATTTCAAAATAAACAATTCGTATTTCCACCAGTATAAATATGATCAAACAAAACTCTTGTGGCAGTTATCTATGGCAGAAGGTACACGGTACTATCGATATTCCAGCTAGGGTAATCAGAAAACCAGTTTGGAGGTGAAGTTTCTAGCATTCTAATACTACTGATTACTCTCAGTTATATATTATTTTAATTATTTAGCAAAAGAAAACATTAAATCTTTTTTACGGAAAAAAGTCAAGCAAGCTCAATCCCATCATCACTCTACCAAATAAGAATTAAAGTGAGACTTGAGTTAGATGGCAGGGGGTGTGCGATAGACTTACATCCACGTGGTGCACCTTGGGCAACGTATACTCATACGGCACCACGTGGTGCACCCTGGGCAACGTGTACTCATACGGCAAGTAAGTCTATCACGTGGTGCACCCTGGGCAACGTATACTCATACGGCAAACAAACTGGTGCACCCTGGGCAACGTATACACGGCAAAAGAGTCCGGGTGCACCCTGGGCAACGTATACTCATACAGCAAAAATGTGGTGCACCTTGGGCAACGTATACTCATACGGCAAAAAACTGGTGCACCTTGGGCAACGTATACTCATACGGCAAAAAAGGTCTATTAACCGGCAGTTAACTTCTGACTTCAAACTATCATCACCTCACTCTGTATGTCATAGTCATCCACTTCCACAGTATTCACCTCACCTTTTTTTCTACCTT